ACACATCAAGAGAAAAGTATTTTTCCCAGCTCTTGTGTCAGTGTGGAAACCCAGCAGGAAAGAGTCATCTTGAGTTTTTTTCTTCATGTGTGTCTTTGGTTTTTTTACATCTCTGAAATGGAAACTCTCAAGGACTGGAACTTGGCTTTTGCTGTTAAGATGATTATTTCCCAGAGATATTTGCTTCCAGATGTTTGGGATGTAAACACTTTTACAGATCAGGATAGCTGTCACAGAGATGGTTATTATGTGTCTGTTTAACAGTCTTTAAAACCAGAAAAACAATCTTGTTCAGACAAGAAGTGCCACAAAGCACAACTGAATTCAGTGTGCTAGGAATGACATGCTTTTAAACTTTTCTTTCTGCATGAGACATCTAAGTCAATTAGAGCTAACAGAATAAAACCTTCACTTATTGCTTGGCTGTTATAAATCATATTACCAAATAACTGAGTATACCCTTCTTGAATACACAAAACCATCACCCTGATTAGCCTAATTCGTTCTATTCTTCTCTCAGTGATGCTATGAGAAGCACCTTGGGAAAGATCTTCACCACACCATGTGAGAAGAGACTGAATGTGTTTGATGCAAACAATCATTTAGGTCCAAGAAGGCTGTAGGGTGGGAAGGTGATGAGGAAGACCTCAAGCTGCCCTATTGCCCCACAAACCGTGGTGGGGATTAGAAAAGTGGGATGAAGTTTTGAGTTGTCTTATGGACAGAGTGTTACGTCTTCTAGCAGCAGACACTGCGTCACAGAGACCCAAGGTAGCAGTGATCATCCCTGCAGAACTCAAGTGGGAGCTAGGAGATAGAAGCTACCCCCAAAGTGCCTCATGAGATGACTGCTCCTACTTCCTGACTCAAGCCATCCCAAAGCCTGCCCAAACGCCATCCCTGACACTATGTTGAAGGGTAACAATCTCTGAGACAGCTTCCCCATAGCACATATTTTACAACCTGCCAGTGACAGGCAAGAGGCTTTGCCTCCATATCAGAACAGCCTATGCCTTGGTATCCGCACAAAATACAAGAAATTCCACCAGGAGACAGAGAAAACTATCTGTCGGGTACCCATAAAGGAATGAATTTAAAATATGCCAGTTATAGGCAATCAAAAAGACATGTAATATATATATTTATCAGCAAAGCTGGCACCAAAATCCATACTTAAGGGGCAGCTTCTGAACGATGTTTAATAATGGATCACTGATGTCTTCAAATGAAGACATTAAGATAAGCACTATCTGTTTCAAATATAAAAATGCATTGACGTTTTTTGGTTTTATAGTTTGAAAGAAAGTTCAGACATTTCTAGGAACACAAGTTAGTGGAAAGTAGACAATCTCAGCTGAGAAATGCTTTTAGTGGGCCTGGGCTATCACCATGTATAGGCAAAGACAATGAATTCTATTTCCAGGGGCAATCTTAAACGTGACATTTTAATTGAGCAGTGGTATTCTTTTAATATCTTATCTTTTTCAGTAACCTGTACACAGTTGCATAACTGCAAAAGGAAAATCAGTCTGTTCCAGACCACGTCAAACAATTAAACGAAACATTATCCTCGCTTCTTAACCATAGTGAATATTACTCCAGGTACCAAGTCTGTACTGGCAAAAGCACAGAAGAACAGAAAACTGTTTTGGGGAAGAGGCAACATGCAAAGCAGTGAGAATGTATTTGCAGGCCTAAAAATAAAAAAAGCAAGTGCTGATTCTTTATGTGTTTGGTCCAAACATCCTTCCTACAGTAGATCCGTGTACAGAAACCTCTCAATGAAGAAACAGTAACAGTTTCAGCCCTACGATCAATTTTAGAGCATCATGCCAGATGAAGACAACATTTTGCCAGCACTAACAACTGAAAAAAACCTGAGACAGCATAACAGACTGCAAAGGATAATTTGCAAATGTTTTTAGTTGCATGACAGATAACTGCAGAGATACCAAAGTCCTCCTGTCACTCCAGAAGCTGAGCACCGAGTACCTACAGGTCTCCTACCCAACAGAGGCTGTGACCCTCTGCATAAAACCCACTGTCAATGTATTTGACCACATGAAAGCTCAGACTAACAAGCTGGGCACAGACTGTGACCATGTCTTTTTTACAATACTAATACTCCCCTAACACTTTAAAATCACTCTCTGCACTGCAGCTCTTCAGTCTTACCTGAACACAAGAGAACTGAGAGTGACATAGAGACTGATGCACAGCTTAGCTGCTGACAGCTATTTCCCATATTCAATCTGTCCTACAACTTTTTTTTTCTTTACTTTTTTTTTTTTTTTTTTTTTTTTTTAATTAATACTTTACTGATTAGCAGTTCCTTCGTTTGTTTGTTTTTAACCCAGTAACCAGTGCTTGGATCAGTCAGCTTTCTTTAAAAAGCTCCTCTGTCTTGCTGCTGGTCATTCTGTCCAGTAATGCAGTAATCAGACAGACCTCAAACGTAGCCTTTCAGAAAGAAAGTTTCAGTGAGGGCAGCTTCTTCAGAAGCAGCACATTCTGTGAAGAAAAACCGTAAAGAAAAGATACCATGGCTGATAATGCACTGAATGTACCAACCTGAATTTCAGAAGCAACAGCTACAGGGAAAAATACTACAGGGGGTCTGAAACTACTCACTGAGTATGCAGCTGAACTAATGAAATACAAGCATCTCTGTAAGGTTCTATCTTCACTGAACCTCATCTCACACCAAAACCTTAGCCATCCCCCTTCTATATCCTCCAACACCCAACATGGGCATGAGACAGCAGGTAGCTTGGTATGAACAGGCTGGCTGGCTGCCATGTAGAGCATAAAGCTGTTCAGTCCAGCCTGTCTTCACCTGCTCCCCCAGCAAGTTATAAAGATGCTTCAAAACTGTTATGCTTCCAGCCAGCTATAGAGTAATATAATTAAGACATCAGCCCTGGCTCTATCTATGGGAAGAGAGCCATGCAAGGATAAGCAGGTCAAGAACTTATTTAAAATTAAAGAAGGATCAGCGTAGTGTCCCAGCTGCGCAAGAGGGGAAATGAAGGTATCCAAGTGGGTAATGATAGAGAAATCAGGTTCAACTTCCCTTGGATACAACTCTTTCATTCATTAGGAGGGCATTAATTATTTTAAGGCTTATCCACAGTAGATCTCTTGAGCTGTGATACCCAGACATCAACAACAGAAAAGTCTTTCGGTATTTCTAAGTAGCATGATAAAGAAGCCAAGAGAAAGGATAGAAGCTCCATCTATTCCCACCATGTTATCTGAAAACGGCTATCTAAAGGCAGAGCTGTTTTCCAGCATTTGCACTTTCTAGCATAATTAACTTTTCTCTTTTAAAGCAACTGCTGTACAATAAAACCTCAGGCTAGCCAGGATACATACACAGTGGCTACCACCACTGCCAGAGAGCACCGTCTGTTATACAGTTTCATGTGAAGAAAGAATTGCATGTGCAGAGGGTCCTGAAACAATTAAATGTGCAATATTCATTTAAGTCATGTACTGGCCATTCCCCTCTGACCTGGCAATCTAAGCATATGCCAAAACATGTAAATTCCACACTATGAACTTTATATTAGTATGTAACTCTGAATATGTTTTCAGAAATGTACTTCCCTGGAGCAATCAAGTAATTTTTGCCTGTGTTCAAGTGTCTAAAAAGAAGAAATCTCTTATTTAAATGTCTTACCACTGGTTTATTGAGTCAGTCTATCACTCTTCTTCCCTAAATTATGGAATATGTTGAAAAACAAAAAAGAGTCCCCACACCCTGTCATCTAAGTTTAATAGCAAAATGGAAAAAGCAAACCAACCATGAACAATTTTCTCCTGTGAACTCTTCCAGTGACAATGCCAGCTCCGTGCCTCTCGAGGGGTAGGTTACAACTTGAAGAAGAGTCTTATGAAATCATGGCTTCAGACATTTCAGGTCTCAGGCCAAAGTAACATAACATGCCACACAAGATCTCCAGGGATGTCTGATCAGTGGCACCACTGTAAAACCACAAGGCTTTTTTTTTTTCCCCCCCTTTCTTTTTTTAAACATTCATCTCAACGAGCAGCATCCGCAGTTGTAAGGAAAATCCTTCTTCCCCTTTCCCTAATACAGGGGAATGCGCATCGCAAAAACAGGGAATTGCATCTCGGCTTGAAGCATAAGACAACTATTACTGTCCAAGAGAAGACTCTTGAATAGCAGGGTAGCTGAGCTCCTTCCTGCGGTTGCTCATCCTACCTACATAGTGTGTATTGCACAGGGACAAAAGCCTGTTTGGGTGGTTTTGTTGTCACATGCTGGAGTGTCTACACTAAATATAAATGCAAAAGGCACTTGGCACTTTATGGAGGTCATGCAAAACATGCTGACAAAACTTCCATACCAACACTATACCATTATGAGTTTTGTATAAGCTGTGAATTTTACAAAATAAATTGTCTTAAATGTTTTTCCTTAATGCAATTTTTTAAATCCACTTAGCTGTATGGACAAGTACTTCAGTGAACAATAAACTCCTTCGTTTAGAACTCACAACGAGCTATAAACTACTTTCATAAATGAGCTAAAACAGCTTTCTACAGAAGAATCTTGCTGTTGGAAAGTCCAAAATTATTCATCCTTCTAAACGTGGAAATAAGTGCTGTGGATCCCACCAGGAAGCCACAAAAAGCCCTTGAAAGGGCTTCAAATGATACATCTCCTGTTTTTTCCTAAGTATTAGACCTAACATATCATTTGTAAGGTAGCACATATTTAATTTCTGTGAAATTATGTAGAGTTTTGGCAAGTATAAGGCAACAAATACAAAAAGATGGATGTTGAAGGTTACTCAGAAACTTAGAATCTCTCGTGGAGGATAGATAAGCAGCCAGGGCCTAAAAAATTACATATCAGTGGTTATTTGCATTTGTAAATTATTATGTATCACCTCCATCCCAGTAGTACATGACAATTGCCTACTAGAAATGCAGTCTTTCCTTTTTTTTTCTCCAGCATGGTATTCTCTTACCTGAATTTGGAGAGATGTGTAAACTGCTCATGTCCTTGGAGAGGCCATTCGTTTTGGGACTTGAAATGGGTGCACAGGCTGATGTAGCTCGGGGTGGCCTCTTCCCGGGGACTTTCACAGTGGTTCTCAGCAAGTCGATTTCTTTCCCGTGAACATTCTGCATATAGTCCTGGTAAGAGAAAAAAAAAACAAAAAAAACCTGATATCAGGCAGTTCTGTAAGCAACAGAACTAATGAAACCTGGTTTCATAAGACTTTTGGCCTACATCATCTGCCAGCACCCACCATATGGTTTTCCCCTTCCTTCCATTTTCTTGATAATCCCTTCCACACTTCTCACTACATATATGCCCCAAAGTTTGGAGCTTTCTAATACATTCTCCAACTACCAGTTGGATAAGAGGCAATTCACAGCATAGCTGGTTCTGAGCCACATGTAAGAAGAGTTCACCAGCTAGCAAAACAGAAGGAGAAGACAAAGCTGGCTGTCCCTCATGAGCACACTGCTTTGTGTCTCCTCTGTCAATGTTTCATGCACTTATCTCTTTTCCCTCAAGGCTGGCTGAAATTGGTCAGCAGGCACAAAAGGTACAAAAAGGTGCTGACTGGTAAGGTTTCTGCAATCACAACATTGTTTCCTTAAAATATGATCCTTCCTCCACACATAAAAAACCCACCAACATAGAAAAGAAAAAAATATGCAAATTGTGTCCGATTAGAGTAAACACACTAAAAGCTGGAAGTCATAAGTAGAAAAGGCTTTTCCTAATTCTTGTCTGGAAAACCCACAAAGAGGAAATAAGCAGAAAAACCCAGTCAGCTATGGAAAGATGGTGGTCAGCTGACTGGAGCCAAGCCACCACTTCCCAAGAAACCCATGAGAAAGCTCTTCAAACTGTAAATAGCTTCTGGAAAAACAGGCTCTTGAGATTCTGCTTTCCAACCTCAAAGGCATTCCCTAGATCGTCTAGGGATTGTCTTGTGGACTTCTTCAGACAAAAAACCAGAAAAGCAAATGGACATGGGTGTCTTCAGCAGAGGGCAAATGACAATTCATTAAGGTGAGACAGTCACTGAGGCTTCAATCCTAGGATACTCCTATTTCCAGGAGAGATGGTGAATGTTAAAGCTAGTACACAAGAGAGAAAAGTTCTCATCTTCTAGTACACATGGCTGTGGTTACTTATGTGCCAGAAAAAAAACCCTGAAACAACTATAAGGACACTAAAAGAAACAAAGAGACTGTATTTTATGAGAAGACATGCAAGGTGGGTAGCACAGGACAGCAAAATAAAGAGTAAAAAGGGGTAAGAGCGTTGCACAAAAGTACATCTGGGCATATATAACCCAAGAGGAAAACAACAATTTCAACTAAAGATTGGAAAAAGATTTGGGCTCTTGAGTTAAGCTGTGGAAACCACTGGAATGGTATTCTTGAGCAATCTTCTACACAGAGCAGCTGGGACAAAAAACCCCAAAATCTAATTCCTTTACAGATAGAACTTGATCAATTTAGAGAGGCCTGGGTGATACTGTAGGAGTTTGTATGAGGAAAGACTTGTCAGCAAAAACCTAACTTCTAGTCGTCCAAGTGGCCAGGGAAAGATTTAGCCAGATTACAGGTGTTACATGACAGACTAAAAGCATTAACGAGGTCAGTTCCAAACCTGCAGCGTACAGACCTGTACAGCACCAGAGCATCAATTTTACAAGTAAACACCTGAATGGACTAAAAGCATACCTGAGGTCTACATCACTGCTGCCATGACACAGGGAGCAATCAGCTCCCTCATAACAATCCTTCCACCTTTGACAGTTTTTACAATACAAATTATGTATTCCACTCAAAACACATCAAAAACCTACTACTGAAACAGCATTTATTTCTTCACAGCTAACATTAATCTGTGATAAAAACCCCAATCCAAGACATTACATCAGCTTCCCCATAGTTACAGATATAACTCCCCTAGATGTTAGTTGTAGAAAATGCTGATCCGAGAAAAAAGGGGAAAAAAACCCTTTAACAAGGCATGAGGGTAATTCAAAGCCAAGTACTTTTAAACAGCACTTAACAAGTCCCTAGAGCCCACTCAACAGTGGGCCACCCCAGAAGTGCCATCTTCTGCCCCTCAACAGCTTGAAAAAGTAGTAATTGCAACTCCATTTGCATTTTCCTTCTCAACTTGCCCATATTCATCATTCAACAACACAGAAGGAAAAAAAAAAAAAAAAAAAAAAAAAGAGAGAAAAGCAAGCAGCAAAGGAAAAGGAACCCTCCCCAAATGTGTGGATAACAGGAGAAGCTAGCGCACCAGTCCCCCGGACCCTTGCACCGTCGCCATCGCTTGTTTTTTACATTTTGCTCCTAATTATGTTGCATCTATTGCCATACACTTAATTAGCTGCATTAATGTGATTTCTTTTCACATAGTCAAGCAATTAAGAGCTATGATTGAGTTTCATTCAATTAGCCTCAACAAACATGCTAATTGATGTCCCAGATGCAAATGAGGTGCAATGAGAGAAACCTGCTAGCAATTGAGAGTTGTGGCAGGGAGACCCACAGCTCTCAGCTTGCTGACAGCAGCACAGCTTAACATGGCTCCCACCTTCTGTGGAGCTGCCTTCCGAGGCAGCAGGGGAGACAAGCCATTAGTGCCTCAGTTGTCCCAAACAGATCCCTACAGGAGCAACGGGCAGCACTGACTCAAATCAACATCGTCGCCAATTCTCACGGCAATGGCTGGTACGAGCCGGAGAAGAGCATAGTGTTTTCCTGCAGCTGGGCAGGCATGACAGACCCTGAGAATGCCACGGTTTCTTCAGTTAAGGACTATAAAAGGTCTCCATCTAATCTCCGAGCTCGTGAAATACCATGCAGGTAATGGCCTGCAGTTATCAGTAACTGGCAACTTAATCTTAGTCAGCTGTGGGGCAATGCTGCCTCTTCAAGTTAAGGCCAGAATGCATCAATCAATCAATAATCCCTAAAAATATACGCTGGCCATATTGATTCTCATTGCTTTTCATCCTCGGGTTACCGTTAGCGGTTTGCTCAAATATAGTGCTGCTGAGGTGTTAATTTGACTACTCAAGGCCATTGACCATTATCTAGAGGACTAAATAAACTGTTAAAGTATCAGAAAAAATCATAAAAGCCACATTGACTGAAGATGACACAAAAAATTATTTGACAGCACCACAAAATGAATTGCCTTAAGAAAGAAAGAAACGATGTGCCATGACACAGAATAATGTAAAGTAAAATTACTTTAGTTCTGCTCTTAATACTGCTCTCCGTTTACAACAGCAGAAATTAATTAATTAACAGAAGCCTTTCAGACATGCAAATTGAGCAAATGGGTATGATGATGTTTTCTAAACAGACCTACCAAAAAGAAACACTGCTACTTTGGGGGCCCCCTTTTGTTTTCAGATGCCAGCGGTTGTTAAACTTGCTGCCATAGATCACAATGACCTCTGATTTACCCTAGTTACCTAACCCTAACCCTCAAAGCCAGAGAAGACATTCCACCAAGGACAGCAAGCTGAACCCAGGCTACATGATGCTTCCAGCTAGCTGCCTACTTTCTCCCAGCTGAGAATACTGAAGACAACAGGCAAACATCTCTTCTTCTGAAGTCATACGCTGCCTGCTTGGCCCTTTTTTCGTGGGAGTAAGGACATACGGATCATATTGAGGGAAAGGCAGAAGGTGCTGGCTGCTGCTTCCGTGAAGCTGAAACTCAAACTCACATCATCGCAGTCTACCACAGTTACCTCAAATACTTCACTAAAAGGCCACGGAGCATGTGGCTGCATGGTTCCTCCATAGGATGACCCTAAAGTTAAAGGTGTGGCTCATGTTAGGTATGTAACTCTGTGGATATCAAAAACATTACGGAGTTTGAGGATTTTCAAATGTCTCTAACACAAGAGATAGTCATCCTGTCACACACACAAAATGCTTTTCTACTACGTAGGTTGTATTTCAAAACCACCATGTTTCATTATCAGTGTATTAAGCAAGAGAATGTATATGAATGCTGTTATTGAATATAATATTTATCAGTTAGTACCCTGAGAGATAAATCCCCCATGCTTTTTTTTTTTTTATAGCTGCCTGCATGCAAAGTGGGAGTACAAATCTCCCTGTCCCTAAGGCAGGCGTTTTCCTCCTATTTCCACAACTGCAAAGTATTTTCCCAGGTGAACAGAAAACAAGCCCAGGAAGAATGACAGAGGAACCATTTTACTCTGCCAAGTTTCCGCCACACCAAAGCACCCGAGCAGGCAGGTTCTGGAAGCCTGCCACGCAGGCAAGGTCAGCTCTGCTCTGGCAGCAACAGAAGGTTGAGACAGATTCTGATTGAACTTGCTTTGGACTGTGCTTCTCTCCTGGGATTGCAATGAAATTGCCAATGCTGCAATGCTGTCTTCTTGGCCAAGAAACCTCACCAAGAAAACAGTGATCAAACTGCAGGAGACAATTAGGGCCTCCTGTGGCTGGGGTCAGTTGGACTGTGGAGAGAGAGAAACCTCTTCACTGGAGGTTACACTTTTTACATCATGGCACTAGGTGAATGGGACTCAAAGCTCACATCAAAACCACTCATCTCAGGGTTGCCATGTGTCATAACAGTAACATTTTAAAAAATACCTGCTCCCTCCTAGACAGCCTCCCCACTACCTGGCCCAACTGCCACCCTTTTCTAACACACAACATACCAAACGAGAAATTGTCCGAGAGCAGTGTCTTTCCATGTCTATAATGGTACACATTAAGAATACCACACTGTCTCATTTTGAGCTATTAAACTTCTCAGAAGAAGCCTATTTTTCCAACACGATGAACTGGTCCAGGCCCAGGATCCTTCTCAGATCTGTCCCTGGTTTACACTGAGCTTCCCAGAAAAACACCTTCATTTTGTAGCAGTTTTTCCTCACCGTTCAATCAGACAAAACACTCCTAAGGCTTAGCTTACTGAGGTTGAGATAGTGTTTCCTGATCTGAGGTGAAATAAAAATTATTATGGAAAAGAAAGTTTATGGTTGCACCTCTGGATGACATTTTAAAGACTGTGGGTGGCATATTTCTTGAAATGCAATTCCAATTTCATGAGCTGACCTATTCGACCCATAAAACCTATTGCTCACCCTCAGCAA